CTCTCCTCTCCTCTCACATTGACTTCAGTCCTAAGATGTCCTTTTTGCTTTCATTCTGCTTTTTTTTTTTTCACACTACCTCTGTGCATAATTAGTTAATCAGTGGAATGTAATGTTTATTTCATAATTTTCCATCATTTTACATCTCACTATCTGAGGGCAATTTTTACCTTATATTTATTTCTCTGAAACACTCCACAAAGGTGAAGGAGATTACTTGAAAACTACATTACTGCACAGATGAAGATAAATAGCTCATAATTCATCAAGTGCAAGGAATATGAGAAAGCTGAATATATGAACAGAGAAAAAGAACAAAGAGGTAATTACTGCACAATGGTGTAGCGGTGAATGTAGTTTAATTTGTGAGAAAGGCATGGTCAGTGGGAGACGATTGCCTCCAGCTCTACCTGGACGATGGCCTAGTCAGAAATTAAGTAAGAAATCTGAGTTGTAACTCACATCAGGTTTGACCTCTGTCTCTGAGGCACTCTTAAGTGCAAAACACAGGAGCAGAGGGTTTCAAGCTGAGGCTCCAAGCAAAGTGATGAGTGAAACTGCTGGGAAATTGACAAGAATGTTGGAGATCATCCACCAAACCAGCAACTGTTCTTAAGGCTGCTGACTAGCCAGCTTGCAGGGGTCCTTATAAATGAGCCTGGTAGGTCACAGATTATAATGAAATAAATGTTCTCCTTGTCCTCAGGGCAGCTCACTCAGGTTAAATTATGACACTTACATACGTAGAATATCATCGGAGTAAATTATCACATCTGAAACAGAAAGTCATCCGAAGGAGAGTCATGCTGCTCCATCACACTGCTCATTAGAAATTTCTATCAACTCACAAGTAAAAATAATCACCTTGATATAACATACCCAGAATAAGCAGATTTCAGTAATGATATAGTGCTTTGTTTGTTTATTTTGTTTTGTTTTCTGTCATATCACTAGATGTTACGATGTGGTGGTTCTGCTCTGATATGGACATCTCAAGTCTAGGTAAAGAGGCTGTCCTTTAAGGAGACTGGCATGTTCTGATGACGACATTTATGATAGCTGTACGGCTAGTCAGTAGTTTAAAATTTACATTAAAAAACTTGAGAATTCTGCAAACATGGAGGAAAAAGACTTAAGGCATTTAAAGGCATTCTCAATTTTTATTTTTCTTGTACTCTTGCTGAAAAAAAAAAAAAAAAAGAATAAAAAAGGTAGCCTTCTTAACAAAGGTGGTTACAGTGCTCATTAAGCAGAACATAGACAAAATCCCTAGGTTTCTCATCTTGCATATTAAGAAGAAAAAAATTCAAAATAATTCCCTTAAACCCTTAATGGATTTCAAATCAATTATTTATTACAAAATGTAAATTTGCATTACAATTGTTCATGACTTTTACAGCAAGTGTATCAAGAGTGCTTCAAAAAGCAAGTGTTAACAAGTAGAATTTATCATGTTACAAGTGAAACAGAAATATTAGGTGATCTTTGAGGCAATATTAAAATAGTGCTTACAGTTACAGGTAAAACACACCTTCTACATCTTTTTCAAGTAAAGCCCAAGTCTTGTCAGACAATAGTGCAACAGAAAATTGCAGTAGTTACACAGCGATACTGGCCTACTCATCTTCTTTACTTACAGTTTTAACTTTAGTGGGACTCTACCACTGTGTATATATTCAACTTTTATTTTCTAATGTATGGGGTAGGAATAAGAAACACTCCTAACTTCAGACTTTTGTGAGATTTACTCGTCACTGGGAATATAAAATAGCTTTTGAATATTAAGTTTTAATAGCCTCTTGATTATGAGCTGTTGGAAACTATTGCTATGGTAGTTAAAGAAGACTGTTTAATTTTACTCAGTATATTCCTCCAAAATGCATTACTTAGGTTATATACATAGTTTTCACCCATTATGCACTGTCAGTTATCTCTAATGTGTTTGCCTATTGCTATGAACAAGTAAATGATGTGACATACTTTAATGATGAAGAATATATTAGTGTTTTAATTTAACTCCATGTTGTCATCATTTTCACCCTTTTCTTTTACTCATTATAGATGGCAAAGTGTTGAAAAAAAAAAAAAAAAAAAAAGGATATTTCAGTTGTCACCTGTTTCCAGCTGCAATTAGCATTTAAAAGCTTAACATCAATTTTCATTCAAATATGCCGCTTCTGTAGTCATGGTAACCTTCTCATCAGCTTTATCTTCCAGCTTTAGAAGGTACTGCTGTGGTACTTGGAGATGCTGTCATTAAGGATTTTTCATCTGGCTCCCTCTTCCTTTCCTCTTCTGCACATACGACACTCTGGGCTTGCCTGGGCCAAATGTAAGGTATATAACGTCAAGAAAAGATCCAGAATAGAAATACTGCAAAAATAAATAAATAAATAAATAAATAAATAAATAAAGTCCTACTTCATGGAGCTTCCTGGAAATAGGAAGTAGTGATGAAGAATGGCTTATGATTTCAGAGAGTGCATCACAAGTACTGCGGTGAACTACATAGTCTATTAAATTAAAAACTATTTACATACCCTACTTATGTAAAAATGAAAGCCTTCTACACAAATGTGTAGGTGCAGAATCTATTTACTTAGCAGATGTCTTTTCTCACTTAACAGAAACATTGAGCCAGATGTAGGCCAAAGATAGTTTCATTCAAGTAATCTAATCATTCTGCATTTAGCCAGGATATGCTCTGACATTTAATTTTGTGAGAGAAGTATGGGATTTATTTTACTGTTAGTTATCCTCCTAATACTATTTTAGCAGTGCTTTTTTGTTTCTGTTGTCATTATTATGCAACATGTAGGTGAGAACAGGTCAGCTGATTCAAAACACTTCAGTTATTGGCAGAGATTCCTACCTTGGAGCCACATTATTCTTGTTGTGGCTTTTATTTTCCTTGGTCTGCAATATATGTTTATGATAGGGAACAAAACTGCTACAAATACAGAAAAACAAAGGGATACTGAAATTCAGATACATGGCCTTTTGGTTAATATATAATGTCTTTATGGGGGACCTTCTATGCTCCCTCCCTGTGGTCATTCACAAAACTCAACTGCTTCCACTTTTATTTCAGAAACTGATAGATGTAAGGACACCACACATACATACCAGCCTGCCTCTGACCATCTGTGAAGCAAAAACATCTTTTAGATATCATTTTCAAGACTTTTTAAGGCCATTGTTTCACACACTGCAGGTCCATGATACAGAAGTCACAGGAACTCATATAAGCATGCTTACCTTTAACCTTTGGCTCTGCTAAGTAGCAGGCACAGTTGGACATTTGAGATGCAGCTATTTCATCTGTGTCTTGCATATATGGATGCAAAACATAAAACTTCATTTTAATTAATTCATGTGTATGTGGTGGCTTTAGATGGATGGTCAAAGCAATCTCCACATGTGTCTTTGCATCATCCTGAGCCTGAATAATACAAGCCTGGATAATCATCAGGCATCCACTATTAGCTGTCAGCCACTAATGAGAACCTCCCAATGTGTAATGTGAAATAAACATGCACCACCTGTGCAAACTCAGGATTTGAAGGGCACTTTGTATATGTGAGTCAATCAAGGCTCCCACTGGAAACTGCTGAAAATTTGGAAATATTCTGTGAACCTTTTGTACCTCTTGTATGTCCATGTAACCTCTAAGATGCCTGTTGCATTTTGGTGTGTAAGGTTTTGACATTTCATAACTCTCTGGAAGAATTTATGGCTTTCCAGTCATTGACAAGGCAACCCAAAAGGCCCAGGTACTGAGAACTGATGGTGAGGAGAGATACCAACAGCTACGTGTTTGTTCCAGGCCTACCCAGGCCACTATTATTTTTCATGTGATATCCCAATAATATCTTTGAAGGTACTTTAAATGTCCATATTTTTTCACTTCATCAAAACCCTTACATCTTTATATTCTTCATGAAGCAAGGAGTAATAGTCATTTTATTTGCCATCTGGTGAAATCAGAGTTCAGAAATGAACGGAGCAGAAGCTGGAAAAATATAGATTATTCTCCAGTTCAAAGCAATTGGACTTTGTGGGTGATGCCTGTTTGCTGTATGCAGCAGACTTCAGAAACTGAAGAGGGTATTACTTCAAAATAAAAATAGTCAAATAATAATAATTAAAAAAAAAAAAATCAAAATCAAAATAGTGCTAGTGAGCTGCTACCAAACATTTCCCAGATCCCAACTGCACGGCTGTGCTCTCTACTCCATTCAGCCAGGCTTAATCTCCTTGCTCTTGCCTGGTCTCTGCATTTTTAAAAGATTTGCACAAGAAGGTCTTTCCCAGCTCCCCTGGCTCAGTGCACATCTTCCTGTGGTGCTGACCTGCGTACGTTAGATTACTCCAGGGTGCCTGCAGGTCTCTGTGTGACTTCTTGCAACAAAGGCATAAAGTCAGAGTGCAGATGGTATTTCAGCAGAGCAGCACCTCTACACCCTAGTGGATCTACAGCATGTAGCACCAGGAAACGGCTGTGATACAGAGGCATTGCAGCACTTCCACTGTATTTGAGTCTTGAATCAATTAGCAAATCATAATTTATGGGGGATATGGCTGATGAGATGAGGGCCAAAACAGAAAAGGAAAGTTCTGGATCTAAACTTCTCCTGTTTTCTAGGGTGTTCGGTGACCCTTTATTTTCCTCTGAGCCAACTTTGAAATGCAGTTTAAGGACATTTCTGTCCCCGAGTACATCACCGACGATTAATAACTACCAGTGGACACGTCTCCTTCCTCAGCACCGGGACCAAAATGCAGCATCCTTTTCCCTCATTTCCTGACCTCCCTCCGCACAACATAAGGGGCGCGCTGATGGGGGAGACGCTGCTTGTATAAACCCACCCCTCTCCTTGAGGATCAGCACTATTCACCTCCACCGCCTCACCCAGCCGCGGGGGCGCACGGCGCCCTCCCCACCCTTTCCCTGCCGCTACCCCAAAACTGCCCCCGGCCGGGAGTCGCAGGGGGGGGCCCAGACACCCCCAGCATCCCGGGGCGGGGGCGGTCCGCTGCCTGCCCCGCCTGTGCGGGGCGGTGCGGGGCGGTGCGGGGCGGGTCCCGCGGCCGCCGCCCGCCGCAGACAGCGCGGCGAGGGGCCGCCAATGCCCGAGACGGAGCCGGGGCTGGTGGCGGTGCGGAGCGCAGCGCAGCGCACCTTGGGGTGAGCGCCGCAGTGCTCGGTCGGGGCTGCGGCTGCGGCGGTCGCGGGGTCCCCGCTCCCCGGACGGGCTTCCCCGGGGGGGATGCTCGGCCGCCGAGGGGACGGGAGGGGCAGCGCCGCTGCTCTCCGGGACTAGTGCCCTTGGGTGGATGTTCCCTGGGCTGGGCAGGCTCCTCGCTTTGGGGAGGAGAAAAGTTTTTGGGGCGCGGAGCGGTGCGAAGTTGGGTTAAGTGAGGCGATGCGCTGCGGCAGGGCAGGGGGCGCGGGGAGCCCCCAAGGTGGGAGCCGCCGTGCGCCCTCTGGGGCGAGCTGCCCCGTGTCGTGATTTATCGGGATGCCGGGGGGTCGGCCCCTCCGCCGCCAAGGGTGCGCTGCCCGCCCCGTTCGGTGTTTTTACGGCAGGATGGTGAGCGGTAACTCTCAGGTGGAAAATAAAACTGTCTCTGCTGCGGTGCTGCGCCTTGCAGATGGAGTATGTCTCTATGACATCTTAGCATGGGAGCTGTGCGTAAAAGAACAGGAAAAGCTGCACGTGACTGAGTAACTTTTGTGTAGATAACTGTATAATAGTTGCAATTCTCTATCTGAGAATACAAAATCAGTATCTTGTATATTTTTCAGTATTCAGCTTTTGCTGCAAATGCCTTGAATAAGTGATGTAACAAAGTATTTTTGCAGAGTAATACATACTACTGATATTCAATTTTATTTATAAATTATTTTATATTTTGTATCCTAAAAAATGCAACTTACTATGCATAATGCATATATAACTAAATTCTGCGTTATATTGTTCAAATTAAGTAATCAAGGCACCTGTTATCATTCAACAGTTTTTGCCTGTATTAGAAGTAATGTTGTGCTAATATGCCTTACTCTTGTGTACTTGAGTAGTCCTCCCACAGTTTCATTCTCAAAATTGCAGGGTCAAGTCTTGTGAAAACTTAAAGTATTTTCTGTAACGTGATCTGAAAGACAGGCACTGTTAAAAGACACTTAACCACGGGAGTATTCTTTGTAACTTCATACTGTTATAAAAAAAAAATGTGGCATAAATCAAAACAAAAACAGAGATGAATGAAAATTTCATGTTAGCTAGTCCGAGCTAGTGTCCTAGGTCTGATCAGAAGCAAATTGAATTCCTTCTGTAAACTTGGGTAGATTTTGCAGGGGGGATTAAAGAAGCTGCGTATGTGTTAGATCTTCATTTTGATTCTGTTCCAACAGTTTAGTGTCTTACCCACACATCGATGACCTCTATGCACACATAACATTTCAGTTAATACTGCCTCAGGTACATAGAGGTCTGATGAGATGCTTGTAACACTTTGATTGCTTTTTCATACATTACTGCCCCTGCATTTGGGATTTGAACGTTACATGGTCATAGTAGAAAGTAATTACAGAAGGTGATAATCTTTGGTGTAGCTGATAGAATAGCAGTTTCTTCATTTTTTTACACAACATCTGGGCACAGTTTTTACTTTCCACTAGGACTTTTTGTCATCAACGGAGACCTAATGCTGAGCAGTGGCTTTTGAGAGGCATAAAGTGATCTGAGTATTGACAGGCTTTTATCCATCGGGTTGCTGCTGAAACAAACATGCTGTTGCTGTGTCTGATGGGATGAGCCAGGGTATTATGTTACAGCCAGTAACATTCCGCTTTAAATTCTAAATTTAACCAAGTCTGTAAATTACTTTTTAGAAGCTTCTAACTGCATGCTGTTTTAGTAATGTTAATGATACCTGCTTGTCCTTTTTAGCATGAATGAAGAAAATACTTCCTACGAAGAATAAAAATACTTGATGGTGGGAGAATCTTTAAAGCACCTTTACCTTCAAAGCTGGAGAAGAGTATGAAGAAACACTCCATCTGATTCCCTGAGCATCTCACAAAGAACACAGAATGGCTCATTGCAAAAAAACTGTTGTTAGTGTCTTGGAGGAGTGGTGTTTGAAGGAACCACTGTTTAGTTGCAAACAGCACCAGAATGTTAGGAAAAAACTAAGACTGATAAGAATAATAGGGCTTCTCGTGAGTGTAGTGGCCATTAGTACTTTCTCTCTTTCAATTAGTGCCTTTTTCAAGACAGAACCACATAGCAAGGTGTTGGCCAGCAGCCTAGATAGCCAAAAGCAGGTGCATGGTCACCAAAGAACTCTGTTGGATTTCAAGGAACAGAATGAAGACGGTGTTCCAGATCCACCTACTTCTATGAAATATGAAGCCGAGCATGGCAATGCAACAGATCATGCCAAGGGAGAGTACCCGGAGGACCTATTCTCTCTTGAAGAAAGAAGAAAGGGTGCAGTGATCCTCCATGTGATTGGAATGATTTATATGTTCATAGCCTTAGCCATAGTCTGTGATGAGTTCTTCGTTCCTTCCTTGACTGTCATCACTGAAAAGCTGAGTATATCTGATGATGTGGCAGGGGCAACCTTTATGGCTGCTGGTGGTTCAGCCCCAGAACTCTTCACTTCTTTAATAGGAGTGTTTATATCCCACAGCAATGTTGGCATTGGGACAATAGTGGGATCTGCCGTGTTCAATATCCTGTTTGTTATTGGAATGTGTGCTTTATTTTCTAGAGAGATCTTGAACCTTACTTGGTGGCCACTCTTTCGAGATGTGTCATTTTACATTGTTGACTTGATCTTGCTAATCATCTTTTTTCTGGATAACTTAATCATGTGGTGGGAAAGCCTAACCCTCCTGACAGCGTATTTTTGCTATGTGACTTTCATGAAGTTCAACGTTCAAGTAGAAGAATTGGTGAAAAAATTTTTAAACAGGAACAAGGTTGAGAAGGTTACAGCAGGAGATGCTGAAGGAAAGGTTGGTCAATTTTTAATGAGCATATATGTAATAGCGGTCTTATAAATGCTGAGTCCTTCCTTGTTGTAAAGTACTCAAATACAGTATAATAAGCAATATAAGAAGTTCTGTGTTTTGCTAAAAGGTCTTTTTGTTTAATCAGTCCAATAAGATCGAAAATATAAAACATGAGGTAGCTTCCTAGTAAATCAATAGCTTTTAACTTCAGAGTGATCTGAATTGCACACAAAGCAAGACAAAACACCAGCAAAAAGACATAAACCTATATTCAGCATTTTGACACATTGATGAGGTCTAAGATAAAACAGTTTTTGTTTTCCCTAAGCTTCTGGATTCAGCAGTAGCAATAGCTGTGGAGTATCTCATGACTCAATCTGGCTTTTTAAAGGCTGTTAATGCACTTTCTTCCTCAAAAAAGCAAACACACTTGGAGCAATATATAAAGTTTCATCTACCGATGTTGATATAAAATACTAACTTCAGTTGTAATTAGTGGCAATTATGTGAAAAAATATCTCTGGAAAAATGGTGATCCTAATGGCAGAGTCTGCTGTTTAATCGGGATGGTTTTCCTTTCATAGTATTTGCAACTGAGCAAACTAACTTTTGGCCCCATACTTGGCCATAAGTAAAGAAGGGAATTTGTGCACAGTGGGGCTCAGTGGGTCTTCAGCAGTTACCGTCTCTTAAACAGACCTCTTCTTAAAAGAGGCTATATTTAAGGACACTTGCAGTGGAACCCATAAATACTTACATTTGCAGACCATTAACTGAATGTTTAATACTTAAATCAAAGTGCCTAGTTTTATATGACATTACGGTTATTCATCAGGTAAGTGTTTTTGTTTTGTTTAATTCAGTAATTGCTCAGAAGGAAGTGTTCACTCTGGTTGCTTTCTTTTAACACCCCATATCAGTGCTTCAGAAAAGACAATCTGGTGGCATAAGTGCACAGATATATAAACAGAAGAACAGAGAGACTGAGCTTCTATAACACAACAGAGACACTACATGCCTATAACTTACAGAATACTGATGATTCTGCTTATATGCAGAACTTTGAAGGCAGGTATTGATATTTTAACAGTACAGACAGGTGCTTTCAGTGTTGGGACTGAAACCACTGAAAAAAAAAGAAAAAAAAAAAAAACACATCAAAATAAAAAACATAATATTTCCTCTCTTTCTCTTTAAAAATAATAATAATAAAAAAGTTTCTAATCAAATTTGACTCACACTTGGTATACTTTCTTCTACTTTCATATCTTCCTTTTTGTCCCATTCTTCTTTCAAAATCAGCATGCTCATCTTTATCTTTCTCAAAGTGTGTAATTGGGATTTTAAAAGAAAATGAAGAGTGAACACCAACAAACTATTTACCCTAATGAATGAAATGCTTCTTTAACTACATTAGTTGGGTGCTGAATAATGCATTATTTCATGGTGCGTTGTAAGTACTTCCACACATTGTGCTAAACGCGTGTAATAATAGGAAGAAACAATGGTTTATGAAACAACAGTAATCAATGAATCCACTATCATCTGTCCGGAAACTGGATTTGCAGGCTGTGTGAATTCATAACTGGTCTTAAACAATAGTCAATATGCAAATCAACTAGAGCTGAATAGAATAGCTACATACTATGGTAAGCATTCAATTGTTTTCAAATGAACAGAAGAATTAATTATTTGTAAGTCAAATTGAACATATGATATTTTCACATTGAATAATCAGTTTAGGTACTTCGACTTTAAAAAAGTCAAGCCCATTCACTTTTGGAACACTCATTTATTGTTTGATAGGTTAATTACTTAGAGTCTATGCCTGTTAGAGGTGCACAGAAATCAGCTGGGAATGGAAAATGTGAAAACTGTCTACTTTTCTTAAAAACTCAAGAGTTGTGTGTTGTGTTCCATGGAGATTTCTTTCATGAGTTGATTTCAAGTTAATTAAAATAATAAAAAATATGTATTTGTAAATCACTAAGGAGTAGAGAGGGGTGGAAGAGTTGCTCTAATTTGATTACAATTTACCTAAGATATATTTTCTGCCGCCTGCTGAAAAATAGCTCCTAAAGGTATCAGACTATGTCTTTCTTTTAATAAGCTGTATTGTAAAGACATATTTTTGAATATTTGGCTAACATTCTGAATTATAAGTATCATGAATGAGTATTCAGTTGAACAGAATTTAGTAGGATGAATAAACTAATTTTCTGATAACAAGGATGTCACGGATGATGTTCTTTGGAAAGAATCTCCCTAAAGCTCTGTATTCTGAAAAACAAACAAACACAAAAATGATATGATGAAATGCGTAGGATGTTCAGCACTAAAGTTATTGCCTAAAGCGAAGAATAAAACATTTCTGTAGTTTGAGATTTGGAGCCTAGTGGTGAATGCAGTGTGCCCTTATTTCATAACTAGTGGGAATTAGAAGCACTGCAGAAGTGATAGTCTTGGCTTTTGGACTGTTTTCTGCAGTGTTAACCTAGATTGCTCTCAGTCATCAAGAATGCAGAATAAAATTGTGTATAATCAAATTAGTATTTCAAATACAAGCTTTCCAATCTTGATTGTTTCTAACAGAAATATTTTCACATTTTTACCCCCTGTTAGGACAGAGAATTGCTAGGCAGATCTGGAATCTGTGGGTTAGGTTGCCTTGGAAGAACTTTATTTTAGGAGTGTATAGAAAATTCTGTTCTTTTGTCTAACCTGAACTACTTTTGCCTATCCATTTCTGATTCTGCTGTTGCTAAAGAGGCAAGTGGTCTGCTAAAAACATTACTGCCATATTTATCTTTAAGATGTTGTGTTGTAATCTGAAAGCAGCTCAACAAAGTTGAGAGGTCTAAATAAGGCAACATAATGCTGGAGAGTTGAAGGGTTAGGTGGCTCACTGGCAAACAAGTATTGAAGAGCAAAAATCTGAGCAGGTGAAAAACCTTTGGGATATTAAAATGCATTTTGATATTAAATTCAGTACTTTTATAATTTTTCTTGAAAGGTTGAAGAAAGATTCACATTGTCAACAAAATATTTTCCATGAGAAAAGGTCTTAGATAAGAAATGATTTTTCAGCTTAGCCATTGTGTGTTGTATGTGCATTCACAAGCTTGCCAGAATGCGTACGTATCTCTAGATGTTTATTAGATTCCTTTCTCTCCCATATTTGAGAATTAAAGGTTGTTTGCTTTTTTCTTAAATTCTGCAAGTATTCAAACTTACCTACTTTTTCTAAAGTTACATCATTTTGTGCATCAGTTACTTGTACAAATGTGAATGAATATTGAATGCTCAATGTGAATTTCATTGTGCTCATTATTTTCCTGCACAAGCTTTCAATCAAGTAGAGTTCAGATCCTTAAAGGAGTACAGGTTCAGAAAAAGCTGGTAACTGGATTTTTGGCAACAGTTTGATGACACTAATGAGAGCAGAGTATGGTTGGTTGGTTGGTTGTTTTTTTTGCATTTATAGTTGGTTTTGTCTTGCTGCATGGTTTTGTTTGAACTGTGGGTAATCTCCTGCCCTATCACACTCCAAAGGAAGTTTAACAGAAGTTTGATACTAATGAACTCCAGAGATCACTGTGAAAAGAGTGGGAAAAGGAAGGAGGAAAGATGATGAAGAAAGGTATTATGAAAGGACAGGATAAAAAACAGACAGCCAAGTTCTACAACGTAGGGTGGTACATGCAGTCCAATGTGGGTCCTTAATGGGTGTCCCTGAGCTCTGTGGACTGACCTGAACTTGCCCTACAATAGGTGGTGCAATCCCACCACCAGATACTCTAAAAGTCTCTTCCGATCTATATAATACTTTGCCCTCCAAAAGTCCCTTCCAACCTGAGCTACAAGAACAGATGAATTTTGGGGTCTGGGAAGGAAACTTTGGTGATAATTCTATATCTTCCTCAGACGTGTGAAGGTGTTTAAAAACAGAATGATGAAACCATATGAGGCACAGGAAGAAGAAAATTGAGAGAACTGAAGTACAAAGTTAAGTAGTTAAAAACAAGGCTTTTTTTGACTTTCTGTTGAAGGCCTCAGTCTTGTCTTGGTAGTCTCTAATGGCAGAAGCATGTTGAGTAAATTAAATCACAATAAAACATTATGTAAGATTTCAGTTTTTAAGTACTTTTTCCTTTAATGTAGCATGGAGATCATCACAAAGATACTTGAATGTGATCACTCGGTAAATAGCTCAAAACAGTTCTGTTTGGCAACTAGGAGAACAGAATGAGAGTGGAACAAGGATATTGTGCAATGACATCTGTTTCACTGAGAGTACTGTTTAAATAAAAAACTTATGGTATATACAAGACAGTTATGGTTTTTTGTTTGTTTGTTTTGTTGGTTTGTTTTTTTTTGGTTTGGTTTGGTTTTTTACATTTATAGAAGACTGCATTTGGAAAACGAGATATTTTTTTTACCAACAAGACATAGTTTGACATTATTTTATTGCCAGTTTTGTTATCTTAAGAAACCTGAATAGCTTGTGTGTGTGTGTTTATGGATTTTAAAATCCATACCGATCCCAAGTGTTGTGACATTGTATTTAATGGCAGTATTTGCATTCTAAAGGAAAGACTGTTAACACTATTTTTAGGTAGTTCTTTACTTGCTGGCTTTATTAGTGCCACATGAACGAAAAGCTGGAATTTGCAAAAGGTCTGAGTTACTTGTAGTTGTTTTGAACTGCTGAACAGTTCTTTCTCAGGGCTTCTTGCTGAATCCACAGACCTGGTAGCTGCAGCTCTATCTATGTAATACCCTTTCTTCTCTAACCACCAACAAAATACTTTTTTTTTAGGTGGTGTTTCATAGAAAGGTAGGAGTTTTATTCTACAGACATTTCTCGGTTCGTCTGCTACTGCAAGCACATACGTGAATATAGAGCTATGAGTATCTGAATCTTTCATTCTAATATGTAAAAGATGGATGAATTGTGACATGTACTTATTTAGAACATGTGCATCATCACAGTTCTTGTATGT